ATAAATTTAGCGATTAGCTGAAATTTCCCTAGAATATCCTTTTTATATCCAAATATGAGCAGAGCGTTCGAACTTGAAAATACCTTTGAATGTCATCATGATCTCAAAATCAGCAGACGAATTAGTAGCGATTTCGACAAAGCCGTATATTTCGTCGCCAACTTGTCGTATGGGGGGCTGTGGTTCCTCCTCGCTTGTATTCGCCAAGACATCGACGTCTTCTGGGAGCACAAATGTTTTCATCACAACTAGCGACATCTTGCAGGAACAGCGTGAATATCATTTGAGAAAGCATAAAAATATTTTGATATGTGCAGATGGTGTCCTATTGAATTTTAAGGCCAAGAAGCGGCTCCACGGGGGTTTATAAATTTTTAAAAATACGCCTGTGAATCTGTGGAGAAGTGACGCTTGCTTCGTTGATCGTGCAAGTTCGCCATTGCAACCCCGGCTCAAGCGCTCGATTACCCAAATGTCAGAATCCAGATGCCGCGCACTAGCACCAAGACAGCGTTGCATTATCTAATACCATTGACGTAGTGGTTTCTTCATATCATTTTCATTGATGGAAATATTGGAGCACATGAGAGCTCTGAGGTATGACACCAGAAGACCGGATCGCTCGGGAGAGTTACAGGGGTCTTCCCGGGTCGTACGGAAAATTTGCAGGCTTGACGGCACTAAAAATTCGAGGCGATCAAATTCCAACGCAACAAAGGTCGGCCTCGACGCGATACCGCATGTCGAGCTCACCGAAGTTCGTGAGCTTTCATGCATGATACATTGTGAGAGATGCGGAAAAACTAGCCCAACCCACCTACCGAATGCATGTAATTCGCTGCAGCCATAGAGAGAGAACTTTTTCCTTGATAAAGTTTAATCAAGAGCTCAAAAAAAAGATGGGTTTCAGAACCGTCACTCGGATCAAAGATAGCCAGCTATAATGCGGTGTGAAAATGTTATGTCAGTATTTAAACTTCTCACAGTATGTTAAACGTAAGCATTTCGACTCAAGTAAGATGCATACGGTGAGAAAGCTTTAGTCTCTGTTTGTTTTTCTTTTCTATTTATTTATTTATTTATTTTTTTTAATATTTATGCCAATCTACATATAGGAGCGCGACCAGCAAAAGTAGTCTCTACTCACCACTTATTTTAAGGAGTGCTTAACTCGCCAGGCTTTGAGGTAGCCATTAGTACGAGAATGAAATCAATATAGTATCAATTTTGAGTATATTGGAATTGGCACTGTTATATACAGCTCTTAAGTTGATACAGGTAATAGGAACCGCAGGCTCTTCAGCATATACGTCCGCAAACGTTTAAGCTCTGAATAACTGACCTTTCTCAGGAGATAGAAGGTGTTCAGCCTGGCTCATCTTGTTCCCGATTTGCTTGATCTTTTTCTCATTTTTCTTGGCCCACTTTCCAATTTTGATACCTAGTTTGATAGCCTTACCGACCATGCCTACACCCTTCATACCCGAGGCATATTGTATCATCTCCAAATTAGCCTTCAGCAGTAAATCAACGCCTACAGTTGCTATCTTGTTCAAGGTCGTTTGAGTTCGCACAAACGTGACGACGAGAGTTTCTCCGTCTTCCGCTAGCTTGAATACCAAGTAAATTGGGCCAGGGTCAACACCAATACCTCCGATGTCCGCATTGTTAATTGAAGCACTCCCACCTGGCCTGCTAGTACCATAGGCACCGTACTCCCAAGTTACCTCAATGGGCAAGTGGCTAGGTCGTCCAAAGACACCAAAGAACCCGGAAACACCTTCACCGAACTTAGTCGGGCTAAATTTGATGGTTCCTTTGGCGACTGGCTTTTGCGATTCTTTGTCAATAAGGTCGAAAGATACTTTGACAACCCCAGGATGGGAAGTAGAGGCACGAGGACCAGTATGTCGAAATTTCACAGTTCCAATTTTAAGTGGGCCGGAGGTCTTGGTCACCTCGCCAGAGATATTAGATTTGACGATACATGCTTTTCCTTTATCATTTTCGGGATCCGCTCCAAGCGTCTGTGAAAGTTCTCGTTAGTAAATTCAGTAACTCATGGTTATATATAGACTGAAAGCAATATCTTACCGCTCCGCCACCAGCGCACTTGTCTGAATGATCGTTGTGGACCATCAAACTAGACCACGGGCCAGGAAGCTCGCCGGTAAAGGTAGTCGTATATCCGCTGAGCTTGAACCAGCCTTCATTGCTGTGAGCCCATGCCGAAACTTGTGTAATCTTGAATTGCAAACCCTCGGGCATTTCGCCCAAGAAGAATTGCTGGTTAAGATCTCCGGAGGCCATTGTTAAGATGATGCAATAAATGTATACGTGAACTCAGATATCGACCGTTAAGATTTATTGCTTTAGAGTTGATACAGAAATACCCTTAGAAAGAAGCGGAAAGAATCCTGTGAACCAGCACAAGTTGATAATTAAAATATAAATGTAGGTAAAATGAAGAAGGACCAGCCTTTGAATTGAAATGGATTCTTAGATATTGTTGATCGGTGCTGATGATGATTAGAGTTATAGGGAGGGAAATATTAATTATTTATAATAACAAATGTACGATGCTATGACGTTGGAACTCAATGAAGATTTAATGCCACTACTACTAGCGGTTAGTTCCAGCTCAATTGATCGAGCTCAAGCATCTGTACTGCATATTGTTGCGCCGATGAGCTTACGATTGCACCACAACATCAAAACCCCGCTGTTTTACTCCTTTACTGTAGTTCCTCTTCCCTTCTGGTGTTACTCCAGAACAATGTAAAAAATCAAGAATTGGTTTCAAAGTCTCGGATGCCAAGCCCAATTTGCTCCTCGCCCTGCGGCGAGTGACTTTCATTGTTGAATCCTAGCTAAGTAGGTAAGCGGTTATACACAAACTCGCTACCCCTTCTTGTATGGCCTCGAGTTTTGAAAGTCTCCGCCTTCTCCGTACCGAACCCCTAGCGCGGCTGGCCTGGAGCGCAACCAGAAAGCTGTTATGGGAGCTAGAAAGCTAGAAGGCGAAACGAGCCGAGGACGATTTTCTCCGGTTTAGACATCGAATGTTCTTCCGACATTTCCGTGGAAAAGTTTTTAGAGGTTAAATCATCAAGTCCAAGCCCGTATAGCGAGTTCATCTATAGTGAAAGCTTTTGAAACTTGTTGCCACGTTCGTCATAAGTACGGCTCTCAACTCCGATTGGCAATACCTTCCCAGGTCTGATTGAAGCCTTCGTTATTAGCCAGGTCAGCTTTATTTTATGATTCTTGAAAAATATATGAAGTATTAGGCACTAGAGCTGTATGGATTCCTAGCACGAAGTAGAACTAAACTATCAAAATGTCCACTATATGGGACCGCGAACAATAGGTAGATAATTCTGGTAAGACTGTTGCTCTCCGAAAGCTAAGTTTATGATGAGCACTAGTCCCGACATCGATGATAACGTTGGGTTAGGAATTTTACCAAAATATTTAACCAAGAGGAAACCTAGGTTTTTTGCTTTCCACCCAGTCTTGTAAATTTCTAACTGAAAATGGTCCGTGAAACCAAGCAGCTGGCCTGAAATCCGACACAATACGAAGATATTTTTTTGGCAACTAGATCCGCAGAGTGAGCGGCCATGAGAATGTGCGCCACCACTCCTCTCGCAGAATGGGCGCCACACATGCACACTTTGGCGCCCCTTGCATCATTGCACAAGATGACGAGACCGCACGTCTCTGAGCGCCCGTCTGCATCTGGCGAAGACATATTATTCCGATCGGAGCTCTGGCTCCAGGTTTAAAGGTTGTATACAAAACACCTACAATCCTCCATGTTAGCTAAGAAAAAACCTTGGATCAGTCGTGTAACGTTACGCTAACATAGCCTACTCACAGACTCTCGCTTGGGAATCGTGACCATAATTCATGTTGATAGGATTCAAATCTTCATAGCTGTAGTTTCAAACCTAAAATTGAATCTTCCAGGACAAACCACCCCTATGAGACTTTTGGATGAGTTCCTTTGTTACTGAATGTATAGTGGCTAGTTTCGGTGTCGACGATTCTGAATTGCATATACCCATGTCTTGATGCTCAGCCCTGAGTAAATTACAACCATGCCGAGCACGACCAAGCTAGAAGTTATAAGGCAATTTGTCTTAATTTATTGAGAGCAACGTTTTCTAGCTCAACAAGCATGAGACAAAGCCAAGATAGAGGCTATGAGAAAGCAAAACTGTGATACACCCTGCAAACTAACCTGACCTAAACAAGAGTGTGCGCGGCATGTTATTGGTCTCATGCCGAGTCGTCGGCATTTATCCGGCTCGGTCACGTTTTGCATTTAGGACCTAACTTGGAAATCATAATTGAAGGTATAGCATCATTGTCAAGCGTATGCACACTGCTGGGGTATCTTACCATGCCTCGGGTTGGAGGATCGTGTGTGCCGTTAAATCCATACGGATGAAAGTCAAGACTTCATCCTGCATCGGTATGAAAGTCAAAAAGAGCTCTTGCACATAGCTTTCTATATAAAAGAATACCACATGATTGTAGGCTAGTCTTGTTACTGTACTGTATCAATTCGAAATCGCGGTACTGGAAACGCAAACTAACCTGCCAAATACCTCGAGAGATGCGTAGTGGAACAATCGCCGATTCAAGACTAGAACAAGAGTGACTTTGTGACATTTTATCAATATGAAATACATTTGAACCGATCAACCATACAATGCGGCCCTATTTTTGCCTCACTAATAGAGTGTCGATACAAAACGATATTATTTTCTTTTCTTTGTGAGGGTGACCTCGAGACTTGTAACGGAGCTCGCGCTCGCTAACTTAGCCTAGAGCGAAGCGGATTGGTGTTATAAGAGGGAAGATTTGCTAAGAGCTAAAGCAAGATGACTCAACACGGGGCGAATGTGGTAAAAAATTTTAATGCAGGAGAGTTGTGGCAGTCTCTGCTAGCCTTATAAATCAACAAATGAGCCTCGACATCATCAACCAGCGGTCCCATAGCTCAGTCGGTTAGAGCGTCGTGCTAATATATATACTCAGGTATTTATGTAAACGCGAAGGTCGCGAGTTCGACCCTCGTTGGGACCAAAGTATCTTTTTGATCTTGTTATACACCCAGTTTCTTTTTCATTTTCACTTTTTTTTAAACTTTGATTGTTTTGCCAGGTTATAGACCTCTCCTGCCAATGTCGCTCCTAGCCGGCCGGTTTGTGTTGCCGGTTGCAAGGATCAAAATTGATTATTTGGTCACTGTCAAATTTTTCAGGTGACAAGGCTAGGGGATTGCTGATTTGAATACCGTGCCATTACGTTCTGACCAGATATAAGACCCTAGAATGCCTGGCTGACTTCGGTCTGAAAAGAATATCCTTCTAAATGTGAACCTAGATCTTAAGCCAGACCGAATAACGTAGCCTGGTGGAACAATTTAGTCCTGTGTGCCTCTGCGGGAACAATTTGAATATCACGGCAAGTATTTGGAAGAAGCTTGAAGACGCATTGAATGGGAATATCCGATAATGTCGTAACATTAATAGCTTTGGAACTATGAAGCAATGTGCACTTGTATCTGTACGATATCTGTGATCCCCTCCTCCTCGGCGAACCTTTTGGAAAGAATGCGAACTCTAGAAGCACATACTATTCGAGCCTCGAGACCAGGCGGACAGGAGAACAGGGCTACTATTCTGGTAGTAAAATTAAGTGCTAGTAACAGATTCTGCCTCACAAACACAGACTTTCCGTCTAAGATCTATGAATTTTTTTATGGAGTCATATCTATATCTATCTCATCTTATCGTTAGGGCATTTTTTTACAAATTTTACAAATTCGAATGAACCTTGACACCACGTCCAGGCTGCTGACCGAAACCCCATCCGATTTGGTTAGCCGATCTGACCTCCACTCCAAGCTCTTCCGCCCATTGCCAAACCAATCCAGGGTTCTTCTGGAACGGTCTTCCAACAAACACGACATCCGCAGACCCATCTTCTAGAAGACTATCAGCCAATTTGGCTGTAGTAATAATACCGACAACACTAGTTGCGACATCTAGTCCCTCCGCCTTGAGCCCCTCCTTTACCGCCTTTGAAAATTTACTCTGATACCCAGGGGAGCTCTCGATCTTCTGCTTTGCTGAGTTTGCAGCAGAGCTGATGTCGAAAAGGTCAATCTTGCCAGTTTTAGCCGCAGCTTGGGCGAGTTTCACAGTATCCTCAGACTTCCAAGATTCGACGGATGTGTCATATTCGAGCCAGTCAGATGCAGAGAATCGAATAAAGAGGAGTGTTTCAGGTTTGATGTTAGCCTTGACGACGTCAATGATTTCGAGGACTAATCTAATACGGTTCTCGAAAGAACCGCCGTACTTGTCTTTACGGTGGTTGGAGTACGGTGAGTAGAACTCATGGAGCAAATAGCCGTGGGCGCCGTGGATTTCAACAACCTAGTAGTGTTTATTAGCGACACTCTTCGATATTATTAATGGCTACAGACGTGGTACTCACATCAACTCCAGCTTCAACTGCTCTCCTGGCGGCCGCACCCCAAGCTTCCTTAACTCTCTCAATATCTTCAATAGTCATCTCGTGCGGGACCGGAAGGTCATAGTCAAATGGAATCGCCGACGGTCCGTAGACCTTGTTCGTCCATCCACCGACAGCATTGGTGGCAGTCGCTTTTCTGTTCAAGAATGGGGCGACGTTGCTAGCTTTTCTGCCGGCATGAGCCAATTGAATCCCAATTTTCTGGTTCTGGCTGTGCGCGAAGTCTACAATTCGCTTCAAGGGGCCGATTTGGCTGTCCTTCCATAATCCGGAGTCCTCAGGCGAAATTCTCCCCTCCGGGAGAACGGCAGTAGCCTCAACCATGGTGAATCCCGCACCGCGCGAGATTATGCCACCAAGGTGAGCCACATGCCAATCCGTCAGATGTCCATCATCAGCGGAATATTGGCATAGGGGGGACAACTAGAACATTCCGTGAGTTTCAAGACTATTTTGCACAGGTTGAGAAGTTATTGGAATACTAATTACATACCCAAATACGGTTTGGAAAGGTAACACCACGGATGGTGATCGGCTGGAACAGTTTAGGGATAGACTTTCCATTTTCTATCGCAGTACCTGAGGCAGGGACTTGAGCAGGAGTAAAGTATGAGATCTGAAGGGTTTCGTTAGGCTTCCAGAAATACAATACAGAAATATCTAGTGAAACTTACTCCTTCGGAACCAATATTGGGGATGTCCGCCCATTGAACAGCGGCGTTAGCGTCACCCATTTTTCGCCGGTTTATATTTGGTTCGGGGTTGCTTTGTTCTCTTTAAAAGAGCAATGAATAAATGGAGTTTCCGGTTATAAGGTGTTGGGTATCAATCAATTGAAATGTGTCTTGAAGACTGGAGATGAATTTTATATGAAGTTGGAGTGGAGGTTATTGGTAAATTTGAAAGGCTAGAGTAGGAGTGTTTGTATTCTGCGGATCTCTGTTTGGCTCAATCTATGATATTTGAATGATATCAAAATTTATGACGCCGAGACGTCCACCTTTTATAGGTCGTGGGTTTACGCTTCTGAAGCGACTGAGAGTCTTGAGTATCGTAAAATATTCAATATACCATCGAAATCACATAACTGTGCCGAGGCCTCCATGATGGGATTACTAATGTTCTTCGAGCTTTTCCGCTTACGTGCTAGTCAATGGCGCCATCCATTCACGCCGGGTGTTTGCACGGCTAAAAATTTTTTGAAGTGGCACGTCAAAGCCGACGGTGCATTAGTAAGGACGCCCCAAATTTTTGAATTATTAAGACCCGATGGGATATGGGCCAGCCGAAAGCGTAGCCGATACAGCATATCGGATCTTGGACATCCGTAAAGTTTACTACTTGTCGTGCCCAATGCAGGTATATTACTTGGCAGCTTGCATCTTTTTTTTAGCTTTAAACTCCAATTGACCATTGAAATTTCGAGAAAATGCTCCGAATTGCAGATATCTACGGGCCTGAAATCTGGAGGATACCAATGACCTTATCTTTTTAGCCAAGTACTTAAGCTCGGTCCTCTTTTTCCATGTCGGGTTTTGTGAAGCTTAGTCAGGGCGGTCGGGATCCCCACTGAATTGCTGAGTAAACCGTCGGTCGCTATTTGACCAGTAGGTCCACATGCATAGGATCGATCGATTGCTTGCAACGAGGTTGCAACGATCGAAGAATTTCGGTATGTTCCACTAGAAATAGAAGCTTATTCAATGGTAATTGTCTTGCGAGATCGTTCTTCCATTTTCTATGCTTATAAAATCAGCGGACAACGCAAGACAGAATTGGTTCAAATCTTGCAAGCTTGTTTTATAAACGGGCTGCGCAGTTCGAAGTTCAAATTCTCAAGCCGTGCAAGCGGTGAAATCTATTGCCAGCTCACAAAGCCTGTTTAAAAATCCCCTGAATAAGACTGCGGTGACCGTATCGATACCATTGTGGTGCTACATGTCCATAAAAAAAAAGTTTAAGTAAGTATTTGATGAGGTTAGAATTTTCATCTCATTTTCTAATGCTTGCATAAAATTGTTAGTCTTTCTTGAGCCAGGACTATTGCGAAGTTGGGGGTTGTGAAAGTCTTGTAGCCTATGAACACCAGAACCGGCGACACCTCCATTGGCGAAATCCTTTGTCCGACGCCTGCCATCCAACAGATTGGCTTTCTAGACTCTAGGCTTCTCAGAAAGATCTGATCCCTCTTGAGGCAGCAGCCTACAAAGGATTTCCTAACTGAAATCAAACTACTAGAATTCCTCTCAATCTTTGTAAATGGGGAAAAACTCGGGCGGAAATCCTGCGCTCTCAAGAAACCCCAAGACCGATGTTTACCGAACCTGTCTGCAGCTCCCCGCAATGCCGCAAAGCCTTCTCACATTGCGTCTTCCGCTGCAGCGCTGCACAGCTCGATGACGGGAGTGGCGTTGCCTGAAGCGACAGGTGCAACCGCCCGTGGCAAGACCAAAGCCGGAAATTTCTCGGCAGCAAGGCTTGGTTTATTTCAACCACACACTACGAAAGGCCCGGAATTTCGTTCATCTTAAACAATAAGCTCGCACCGGTTCCATCTGACGCATTCTTTGTTGATTCTTTTCGTAGTGTGAACACGCCGTTGAAACAACAGGCGCTCCTCTCTTTTTGTGGAGAAAATACTATCCGTCGGGTAAGCGTTGCGCGTGATAGATCGCGAAACATTTATCTTTATCGTTTTGATCTTGCTCACGAGATCTATAACCACATCTAGAAGAGCACCCGAGAAGCATTTGTCGGGAGAAACCAGCTCGATTGTGGATCAGTGTCATCTATGTAGACGCCAAGGTCGTATATCCAAGCTCTGAGCACCTTGACAGACTAGGAATAGAATTAGGCACGGTGTCACCCATTATCTGCAACCTCGTACTGGAGCCTTAACTTAGTGGGTTTTTTCCGAATTTAATATTTTCATTTCGAGGCGCGTGGATGACAGATAACAGCGAAAAGTAATCAACTAGGTCAAGCCATTGGTGGTTTGTAACGATAACGGGAGCTTTGTAAGAAGGTTATCCTCTTGTGTCTGTTTGTTCTTGTTTACAGAGACCCACACAAGCTCCATCCTGGTTTCGAAAATGGTCTCGAACTGCATTGTCTTCTTCTCGGAGGTTGGAGAGCGAACAAGAAGGATGTGCGGACCCAAGAAAATGTCGGGGTCTTGGATTACACTCTGTCTAAGAATTTCCAATCAAGCTGGGTTGGTGGTTCAGCATCCGCGATGCGTATGGAGAAGGCCCAAGCCTGAAAAGCATGTTGCCTGAAAAGCCAAGGAGACAATCCTTCGCAGACAGGGCTCCCCCCACCCTCGCAGCTCGGTGTGCTATCCTAACCCATACTTGGTATTTGGTCATGACCATGCCAGACTTTTGATATCAGAACTGCGCATTCCGGCTGCCTAATTCAACTGGAAAACAAAAAACACAAATAGACCAAGGAATCTGTAATGATCGACTCGACATATCGAAGTTCGGGTGCTGCTCTCCGGGGTAAGCGTCCACTAGCCTTGTGCCATGGCCCCTGGTAGA